TCACTTTATATTAAAGTAATTGTTTCATCTTATCATTTTTCTGATTTGTAATCACTATTAACAAATTAGCTATCCATCACATGCATTATGTATATGTACACATACTCACACACAGTCATACATACACACACTCACACACAGTCACACATACACACACAGTCACACATTCACACATACATGCATGCTCACACAGTCACACATATGCACACACACAAAACCTCAGCTTGTCTTTTAAACTAGTTAATAATATCTTTTGATGTAAAGAAAAAATGAGGTAATACACAGATAGAGCATTTTTTTAAATGTCTGCACCAGGAATTAAGAATGCCTTATTTCAAGCTCACTTAATGCTTACTTAGCTTTTCCTTCATGTTACTAGATTTTTTTTTTAAAGCTATAGTTCTTCAATTTCTGACCCAAAGAGGATTAGCTACTCCTCCCGGAAAATGGAAGTTGGTGCGGATTAAATAGAGGTTGGGCATCTGGTGAGGGCACTGCACTGAGGCTGTGCTGGAGAGGAACGAGGGGAGCTGCTGGCTTTTCTATCGCCCCATTCTTTGTCTGGACCAGCAGCTCTTTGCTTGCTCTCCAGCAGAGGACGTTTAAGCTGGAGAACCATTTCATATCAGGTTCATGTTTGCAGCCCAGGATGGGATGGCTCTCTCTACCCTTGGCAGAGTGGAAGTTCAGACAGCCTGTTCTTTTTCCTGATTGGTTTACTGTAAGCGTAACACAGAGAACTCAGGATGTGTGTGGGAATCTCTGCTGGTGCTCAGTAAAATGTTTTTGATAAATAAAATATAACTGATAATTTATAAATTATAAGATGTAGTTGATAAATTAGAGCCATGCCTACAACAAGGGCTGGGTGGATAAACCGGGGGAATGAATTCTGGATTTCACTGTGTCATGGTCTGTGAAAAGTAAGAAAGACTGCAGAAGAAGGGAGAAATGAAGTAAATTTCCGGTTTCCTTTTTAGTTGACTGTAGAGATATTGGCCTGAGTGTCGATGTGAAGCTGCTTCCGCCACTGATACAGCAGTGTGAGGAGCTGGGAACATTCAGAGAAGAGCTTGGGGATGGGGAGCGATTACTCCAGCAAGCAGCTGTGCACAATAGAGATCAGAGGCATTCCTAACCCTCTGCACGCTAGGGCACTCTGCACTCTTACAAAGCCATCAGAGCTGAGCCGGCCTCACTGGAACATGACACGGGTGTGGAAGAAGACTGTGTCACCGGTGAGGTGCAGAAACGGGGAGGGTCATTTTGTGTGACACCAGAAAAGGCATTTTTGTTTTCCAATCAGATGGAATGTACTCACCAACCCAAAGAAGAAGTCATGGGACATACCTTCATGAAAATGATAACTGTGTGAGAGAGTGATGGGCCATCACCTCAAGATTGCCACAGGAGGAGACCCCATCACTGTGGGTGCCGTTTGTGACCTCCGAGGCCGGGCTGTATGCAGTGAGGGGCATCACCCTGCACTGCTTTCCTCTGGGGATCCTGATTTTCCCATTTTTGTCTGCTGTTTTTTGTTCATTCATTTTGTTTTGTTCCAAACTACATTTCTTTCTTTACAGCCACAGCAGCACATACAGAACATAGATAAACCCCCAACATTCATCCTTGTAAGGAATATAAGTGTATAATGTGAGATGAGGTAGATATTTATAAACATCAGGAAAAATGATTCCAGAAAATAGAAAGGGTAAAGGCTTTTTATAAAATAAAATGTTAACTCCCAATTGTGAAATTTGTCAATCATCATAAAGATCGAAAAGTCAGCTTTAGAAAAATGCCTAAGAAAGTTGGAAAGATGGTCTTCCTGTCTAATGGGTAGGGGTGGGGTGTGGAACGGGTGTCCCAGAAAACATGCATCTCACAACTTGTTCAATGCGTAAGGCTCAGACTGTACAGCCACTAAGCCTGTTTTACGGTGGTAGGAAGGTGAGTCAGCATGAGGTAAGCTTTCTAGGGTGCACATCCAATGGACATAATCCATGCATACTAGCCTCAGGAAACGGCAGTCTGTTCACAGTGAGCCTAGGAATACCTTGTTCCCCTGTCTGCCCACAGTAAAGCAGAGGCATCAGCAGGGCCTCAGTATACCCTCACCCCCAGCCACAGGTAAGAAGGGAAAAATTGGAGAAATAAAAGCCCTACCTGGTGGATGCAGTTCACTAGCTACTAGGTGAGCCCCACGATCAAATTACTAAAATAAGCTAGCAATTCCTTGTGCCATGGGGGCCATTCCTGCTTTCTAGAGGGTTCAGCCCTGATAGAGCACAAAGAAAATCTGTCACCAGTGTCACCCTGGTGGCTCAAAGGAGTAAGAACTCTAGAACCCTGTGGCTACCTTCTGTCCTGTCCTTTCCCTAACTGAAATCATACTAGCTGATATTTGGGAAGGAAGGACAGAATTAGAGGATCTATCCAATGAAGAGGTACAGTTGTCTCCCAGCTTTCTAGGAACAAATCCACTTAGAACACCAGCCACACCCATAACCACACTTCCAGCATTCTGTTACATACCTCACTGATGAGATGACTCTCTAGTTTTATTGTATTGAGAAGAGCTATTTCCTCACCCAGAGAAAGACCTATCCTTTGTCTGATGCCAAGAAAGCCATAAAAAAAGAGAGAGAAAATGCTGACCAAGAGGAGTGGCACATCCAGCTTAATCACTCCTTCCAATTAAAATGATATAAAATAAGGCATTCACTGGGCCATTCAGGCAGAACACAACTTCCCAAGCACAGACACACCTAATGGTTCCCAAGAGTCTGCTTCCTAAGTGCACTCTAAGAGCAGGACCATGACATCAGTTGCTGAGATGTCCTGGAGGCAACTTGGAGCTGGCTGACGGCACGAACTGTGCGTATGGATCAGAAGTTTCCCAAGCACTGCCTTGACTTTCCAGTATACCAACCTCAAAATAACAGAAGCCAGGGTTTGTGGTGATAGACTTCTGTCTCCAGCCATGACTGGGGCAGAACTGTGGTCTGTCTTTCAAAACTCCCAAGGCTGACTTCTGAGCCTGTTAAAAGCTAAGTACTTAAGCTTGGATAGGGACCTGTGGGGGACAGTGGGACATCCATCAGGAGGCTTCCTTTATTTTAGTGCGGAGGGTGGGGGTGGGGAGGGGGGTCAGCTCAGTCAAATGTAAAATTCTCCCACATAATTGGTTCCGTTGTTGTTATTTTGTTCTGGTTTTCGGGCCCCTTCAGATACTGTAGCAGCCACAACCTCCTATTAAGGTGCAAACACTGAAGGGGCCTTAGCTCTTCCCCACCCTTAGGAAGGCAAGAATGGACTAAGAAAAATCCCCTAGGGGTGGCTTTAGACCAGGGACTCAGCAGGTTAAATGCCTCTTCTGCAGTCAAGACCAAAGCACCCCTAAGTCTACCACAACCCATACATTATGTCATGAGATGTCTGTTTTTCTAGAAACCTCTCCCCTGTTTGACATCCATTTGTGGCTCAAAAGCTGGCCTTCCCTCCATCACTGGGCTCATGCATGGCCCCTGGCCTCCACTTGTGTAGTTCTCACCAGAGGGGATCTTTGCCAAGGGACACGGGGAATAAACACCAGGGGACAGTTTTTGTTGTCATGACTAGAACGGGAAGAAGGGGATACCATGAGAAAATCCTCAAATGCAGAGGACAGTCACTCACTACAGAGTTCTCTTGTCACGGTGCCACGTGTCATGGAGAGAGGACTCTGCTCCAGCCATGCCAGACAGCTGCTGTTTCTGACCATACCAGACCTTCTCACATGCCTTTGTGCCCAAACACAGGCTTTGCCCTTTAGCTGTAGCGCCTACTTCTACCCTGGCTGCTCAGAAAATTACCATTTCCCATCCAGGTTCCAACTCAGAATTTCACCTCCTCTGTACTGTCTCTCCTGGATCACTACCCTGGTTTGGTTTGGTTTTGTCAACTTACTTGACATAAACTAGAGTGGCCTGGGATGAAGAACTTCAGTTAGGTCAGTCTATAGAGCATTTTCTTGATTAATGGTTGATGTGGGAGGGTCCAGCCCATGGTGGGCAATACTTGTTCAGGTAGCTCTGGGTGTGATAAAGGAGCAAGCTGAGCAAGCCATGGAAGGAAGCCAGTAAACGGCATTGCCCTATGGTCTCTGGTTCTGTTTCTGCCTTGATTTCCCCTGCTGATGGGCTGTAAGCTATAAGCCATATAAATGTTCTCCTTCCCAAGTCTACTTTTGGTCAGTGTTTTATCACAACAATAGAAAGCTAAGACTGTCACAGATCTGACTGTTTCTTCTGTGCCTACAGAGATTCTGGTACATAACTTATTAGAATACTCAAACCTGAAATGGTCTGCCACCTGCTAGCAGTTCAATCCAAACCTTATTCATCACTTATCCCTAATGTGCCCATCTGGTAATCAATTGCTATTCTGCAAATCAATCAGAGAACAAATGGAAATTTTGCACATACTTGCTAGACTCGCTTGCAGCTATGTCTAGGGATTAACAGTGTCCCAACATTAAAACTGTGGCAAATGTTTCTAAGAGGCCTGTAATACAGACAGGCACTATGCAAGGCAAGTGGTACATGAATTAGTACATTTCACCCACTATTATTATTATATTACATGTAAGAAAAGAGAGGCATCAAGAAGTTAGGTCACTTGCCTGAGGTCTAGCAGAGCTGATAGTCATCTCAGGAAATCTAGCTCTACAGACTAGTTCTTCAATAGTCAGGTCAACACAGTCACACAAATAGTCAACATTTCAGCTATCCAACACCTCTGGAAAATGCAAGAGATACTCTAGAGGACCACAGAATCATGAAGTGTCCATCAGCTCCTGCACCCTGCCTGAAAGATGGCTTATGGAGATTACACGACCACCCAACCTCTAAAACTGTAATGGCAAGAAAAGCAACCTCCTTGGGCCATTGACAGACATATGTGCCCAAGAAAATCATGATACAGGAAAATTCAAAAAGCATATTCAAAACATCCCTTACCTTGTTCATGCTGCAGTGATGGGCACAAGGGATCAGACATGTCACAGTGTGAAGCAGCTCCTGAAGGTCCTTCTTGTTCCAGAACCCTCACTTCCTGAAGCAGACAGCTGCATTATAAACACAAGCAAGAAACTCATTAGGCCCAGGAAAACTCAGTGAAGTTCCTCCCGTGTCCAGCAGAATTGTCTGCCATGACTCTAGCCACTCATGCTATTCAGCTGGACAGCCACATGGACCTATTGAGCCCTGGGTTCTCAGGGCAGCAGGGAAGGCACCGAGGACAGCACACAGTAGTGCCGCTCACATTCTAGCTTCTTAGTGTTCTCAAGGAGATGAAAGCCTAAACCAAGAAATAACTCGGGAAACTGAGGGCTGTTTTTAAACTTGTATACAATTTAAATTAAAATAACAAAGGCATTTAGTAGCCACCATATTGGATAGTGCAGGTCTAGGCAGTCATGTTTAGAGTCCCAGGGCATGCCCGTGGCTCAGAGGACTACATACCATGGCTACAGAGCCATAGGGACAAGGGTATTCTTTGAAATAACCAATTATTGAGCACTGACTAAGGGCTAGGAGCTGAGGCACTGGTGAGCAAAGCCAACGACTTAGGAATTTCTAGCTGGTACTTGGATATCTTTAATAAAGGGAAGAAACCGTTGAGTGGCAGCAGTACCGTGTGCCAGACCTTAGTGCCCTTCCCTACCGACCCCAAGGAGTTGAGGAACCAGTGGGCAGAGGTCAGAGCCCGGCTGCATCATCCTCAGGACTGATATGTAGAAGCTCCTTGGCAGGTAACACTCCACCAAGGATTTTAAGAAGTTGGTTTGCCATCAGCCAAATGAACAAAGTAATCCAGTACCCCCACACCCCTCCAAAACCAGACTAAGGATCTGTTTTGGATTGTGCTATTGGTTCTTTACAGAGTTTTAAATTATTTTAATTAACTTCACATTTTGGAATAAAACTGTGGTATGGTTCCAGGGCTTTTGGTTTGTCAAATATCAAACGAAAACAGGAGTAGATGTGTGGCTTTTTCCCTTGAAAGATGGTCACAGAGCTACAAGAGGAAAGCAGTGCACTGTCCAGTACACTGATAGTGCATCATCTCCTCAGAGGCTGCATCTACAAAGTATTTCAATGTCTGAATCTTTCTGTGAAAAATGGAATTAGAGACTTAACTAGAACTATAGTGATTTAATAGTAAAAATCACAGACTCTCAATGGCCCACCACAGCCCCTTCTGTTCTTAGTCCTCTATCTTTGTCTACTGAGAATACACATTCACTGAGGCCAGGATGCAAGGTGCAATGCTATATTCCCCATACTGACACTTTCCATACTATGAGAAGTATTTTGCAATTGTGTTTTCAAAAGGTAAATTCTTTTTTTTTTTTTTTTTTTTTTTTTTTTTTTTTTTTTTTTTTT